GAGGGGTTATTTGGTACGTAGGAACTTTGCCAACTAATTCTGGCAAAATGTTTGGTGTGGAAGTTCTGAGCAAGGTATAAGGTTTTAGGTGTTGTTGACAGAGTAAAATCAACATATTTTAAATTTGTTACTTTGTTACTACGCTTACCGTAATTACTCGAATAAGCGCCGCGGCGCTTATTTAATTTCTCGAGTTTTAAAGGTGGCGCTTATTCGGGGGAGGCGCTTATTTAAAAGTACGAAATACGCACAAAATGGTCCAAGTACGCTTTTTGGTATATAAGTTATGTTTTAAAACTTGGTGCCCTTTTTTTCAATCAAATTTTACCATTATATAAAGGGGCGCTTATTCGGGGGAGGCGCTTATTCGAGTAATTACGGTACTCTATTTTCATGCAAACAAAATGTTGGTTGTGTATACCAATAATGGTACTCCCCTATATTCGCTATACAGTACGTGCCGCCATCCAAGGTATCGTCTTCAGCGTTTTTACTCTGGAACAGGGTATCGTTTTCAGCGTTTTTACTCTGGAACAGGGTATCGTTTTCAGCGTTTTTACTCTGGAACAGGGTATCGATTTCAACGACTTTACTCTGGAACAGTTTATCAATTACTAGAGTCATAAACCAACCAGTGACGAGACATAAAGGGCACTTGCTTGATTAACTGCAGCTGTCTATTGCTAATTGCATGTGTGATATGTGTAAGGGGGGTGGGGGATGAAGGGAAAGGGGGGGGGGGGAGGCCAAGTCATGCATTTATATTCATTTGGCACCAGAACATCAAAGCTTTTGATGTTCTCCAAAAGCATTTTTTGTCTATGATTGTATGTTTGTTTAATCTAATATCAAATATGCAATTTTAATTTTTTACTCAATTTTGGTAATAAATATTCATAATCAGATACATTTTGACCATAGGAAGCCATTGGACATGGTACCACAGATGGAACCTTCAGAAACCAAAGGTTTTTTGAGTGTCAGCAAGACTGTGGTGTTTTTGTGTCAATGGACAAAATACGACCAGTTCCAGAATCTTCAAGATCACCACGAAGGGACGCATCATCACCACAAAAATCAAGCAAAGGATCNGATAGTGTCTAAATAGTGCCTATTAGTAACTAAGTATTTAGTTTCTATTTCATGGTTCAAGTGACTCTGCTCTATGTAAAATGAAGCAAGGAAAAACAAAATTACTTGCTAACTAATCAATTTCAGACTATGGCACTGCAAACTTCATGCAATACGCCTCGACCATCAGTCCCGGTACTTTGGTGTACTCTGCACCTGAAGCACAGACCTCAAGACAGTCACCAAAGGTAAACGTCTTCTCTACTTCTGGTTCTTCTCCCTGGTATCTCCCTTTTCAGTACGTATTACCCTAACCCCCCCACCCCAGGCAACTCTTTTTTCCTCCTTTGGGCTTCCTTTGTAACGGTCATCTTGGCCGCTAGGGACTAGTAGCAAAAAAGACAGAAAGCCCGTTATTCTTAGTGATACCTGCGGAGGATGATAAGTCATAAGAAAGCATTACGCCCTTTACTAATAAGGCTGACCTTCTTCATGTCCTCGTGGAAATGATGGTATTTTCAATAAAGAATTTATTAATTAAGCTGTAAAATCATGTTCTTTTAAGATCGATGTTTACAGCTTTGGTGTACTGGTGTGTGAAATGAGCATTGGAGAATTTCCCGTTCCACCTGAGCGCGAAAGACAAGTTTCCAAGGTCTCCAACCACGACTTGCATATCCTGATTAGGAACTGCTTGCGGAGGAATCCAAACAAACGACCTTCTATGGCAGACATAATTCTTTACCTTGATGATCTGTGATACAAATGGAAATTCTTCAATGAGAAAACAGAAGCTGTGGGCATTGGATACGAATGCTGTATATAATCATTTGTCATTACTGACAAACTGCACGGTATATGTTTATTTTTGCATTTAATTTTCACATATATACTAATACCGTATTTTTGCCATTTATTTGCAACGGATACTTCTGGATGGTTCTGCTTCTAAACAAATGGAGAGTTTTTGATTTTGAATTTGTTGCTGTATTGCACCTCTGGACCACTGTAGGATATTACATATGGGCGCGCGGAGATACGGATTTTATCTTCGAGAGGAGATAAAATTCGTATGACCAAGCAACCATGTAATATTATGTCGTAAAATACCTTTTATATGTGGGGCATGTGAAAAATGGACTTGGCAAATGCTGGTAAATACCCCACAACGTGGGGAAGAATGGGAAATCAAATCTCCGACCCCCTGGGGACAAAAACCAAAACAGAGAGAAAACTATTAGAATATAACCGTGAAATTTAAGTGAAACAAAATGCCATTTTGAATAAAATCCTTTGCTTTCTACAGCAATTTCTACATGACCAGCCATGCAGTTCAACTTATCTGTGGGGGGTCCATGACATTCATAGGGCTACAGGAAGCCCAAGTTGCATTTTAAGAGTTTCGAGGCCTTTTCTAATTATTTGACCAATCCCGACCTTATGCCCCACTATGCCCCGACTATATTAAAACTCTCGTAAAATATTCACTTTATCCCCACCCCCTTGGGCATCATTACTGGTCAAATGTGACCCCAAGCCCCACATAGTCCCCACCCTGTCCCGGGTTGGGGTGGGGGTTTACTTTGTCTAGTGCRTACTCTTGGAGACAGATTACCAGTAGTGCCCAGGTTTCATAGAAATATCGCTTGAGTGACCACAGTTGCCCCTCGAACCTTATCGACTTAATTGTTGTATAGCCAAGATGGATGATACGCAAGGTAAATATATCTTGAAAGAGAGTTGTGTTGGTCAGGATAGCAGTGGCAGGGAAACAAAACATACCTTGGTTTTACAAGGCGAAATACTGGAAGAATTGCCAACTTTGAGCACTGAAACAATCTCTCTTCGTGGAGTAAATAAAAGAGCAATTAATGTCAGTTGCTCCAGGTCTAAAGTAGCAAAGTTAACCAACAGTGAGGCTAACCTACTTATGGCTATTACGAAGAATGCAAAAAGGTATAACATCTATATGGAAAAGCCTCAAATGGAATTTGGGAAGACCCTTAAAAAGGATAGTGAAGTATTAATTGAGTTTGACGCCAATAAAAACCTTGTTCCCGGAATAGTTAAAGAGATAGGCCCTCATAAAAAGTATAAAGGTGTATGGTTTACAGTGGAGCTTAAGGTAAGATTTTATGAACATTTGAATAAGCATGATGCATACAGATCTATAAATCAAGTAGACATTGATTATGTTAGTGTTTTCGTCTGAGTTACCAAATTGCTGGCATAATATCTTATGTTTATACTAAATCATTAATAGTTTAACTTGGAATTATGACTTACTATACTTTTAGTTTAAGTGCCTGTAAAATTAGAGTTTATATATCACGAATTATTAGATAGATTATTCTCAAGAMGTTGTTGACAACGCCCTCTTATAAAACAATAGATCAATATCCCGGTGTCACATCGATGCACCTTTTCAAGCGTAGTTCGTAGTCTAAACATTTCTGATTATAAAAACACAAAAACGAAATAGATATTCCAGCTAATATTATTTCCAAGGTCCTTTGTCTGTTAATGCGAAATTCTTAAACTGCTATCTGCAATGATTGTTTTCTGCCTCGCTGTTGTACTCGGTCCTTTCCTAATCTTAAAAGATTACTGAATTGGTAAAAAGCTTTATCAACCAGTCATAGAAATGTAAAAATCAAGTAAGTGAGAGAAAACTGGAAGATAGAGTTTGTCTATTAGAAATTATTTACCGTCGCCTTCTGARAAAACAGTAGATCGAAAYTCAGTATCAATCTATCAAATCGATGCATCACTTCAAGCGTAGCACATAGTCAAAGCATTTCGGATAACCGCAAATTAACATCTTACTTTGGAAATACATATKTAACAAATCTAATATTCCGTTTATACACACCTTACCTGTGATAAATAGAACAAATCCAACCGAGAAAATAATGGAGATGGACAATCTAGAGAGACTCGCACTGTCGCCTTGGATAAAATACACAGTCAGCAGGGTACGAATGCAATTAATTTTGGTTCGTTAGAATGTATTTTCTCCTCAATGATAAATCTTATTATACTTTGTTATCTAGAAAGGAAAAGGCTGGAAAGGCATGAAAGTAATGCAAGTTTACCAATGGGTAAGTCTAATGCGGTTCACTTGCAGTCTGGTTCACTTGCACTGATCATTACCCAAATCATGATAGCCAATAAGGTCCGCTTCACACAACAACATAAGAAGAAAGTGAATTTTCTATTTGGGGAAAACATAAGCACAAGTAGAGGCATGAGAAAATGAAAACTTTTCCATGTCCTTATGTTTCTTGTTCTGTGTATGTTAACAAATTATCATAGTGAACCAGCAAAACATAAGGACTACT